ATCTGGTTTAGGGGGCACATTGACAAACTTGTATAGTTCATATGGTAGTTTGTAAAAATAAATAGTTTATATGGTGATGCGCCAAAACCGTGATAGTTCGGATGGGAAAAAATATTTTACCCTTTTTTAAAACATATTTAAAAAATATAAATAAAAATATAAAATAGCAATTAAATGGTCATGTTATGTGGTCCAAGTCAGTATGGGTTGTGCCAGAGACTTGCCAGATACGTGATGAAACCTTGTTCGCAATTTGTTCAACTCAAGTGAGAATGTTCCGTGCATTTCATCTAAGATCTAACAGCATGATTTTGGTGCTTTATTTTGTAAGGTTATCTAATGTTTAAGTAATCATATGTTCTTTCAACAAATATATATACAATTAAATATTCAAATGTCAATATAAAAAACAAAGAAGTGGGCTATTTTAAACTGTCTAATGCAGCCTAAATAAATAGATAAAAATGAAGTAGAAACCTAGCTAAATTTTTATTTATTTTTTTGCAAATGCATTATATTATCATATAAGATCAGCGGATCCAATAAGGGACAGAGTTTATCTCAATATTCCAATTTTGGTGCTTTATTTTGTAATGACCATTTTATTTGGCTCTCCCCATCTCATTCCCTTCTTTTAAAATGCATGACTGTAAATTAGTTGTTTAAATTTTGTAATGCATGATTACATAACTAGTTTCTACTTTTTTTCTTTTTACATATTAAAAAGATAGTAATTTTATCAGTCAATCTACATTTTCAGCTAGTCAAAACAACTAGCTCAATCATACACGACACGAAATATCAACGCGACATCACATTTATGGCCTCATTTGTTCTGTGCAAGCAAGAATTGCTACATTTCTACATCCTCTAATATTTAATCTGTCCACCTTCATTTTTGGTTTTGCTATGAAGTCAACAATTGACTCCATAGTAGAGCCAACTTTTTATATACAACAAAGGAACCTATCATATTAATAAAATTATATTATATTTAAGTAATTAAAGAATATGATATGTTTATTTGTTATATATAGAAAGTTGGCTCAAACCGTTGGCTTCTAAACCTCCTTCATTTGTGCTTGAAACTTGGTTAAGGAAATGAGCAAACAACTACCGGAAATTAATTTAATTCAATCTCATTCGCAAACTAAATAAGGCCTATTAAAAAAACACAATTACAAAAATAAATAATACGAAAAATTGACATTACACAACACGAAACACCAACAAGAAGAATAAAAAAATTATGATAATACAAAATATTTAACTTTAGTACTATATATAATAATCAAATAAAATTATAAAATAGCTAAACAAACATACATCATAGCACAATTTGTGACCGTAGAAATAATTGGCGTCACTTATAGTCCCGGTTCTTAGATTGGCTCCATTATCATCTCCAAGCTTAAATAATTGCCGATCACGAATCCCATTGGCTGTACAAATTACCTTTCTTTTTCCGGCGGATCGTGGGCCAAAACCACTATACCCCGTGGCCCTCCACCGCGCTCACCAGCGGTGCCTCCAATCGCCACCTACTGAACCTTCACGTGAACATCTTCATTATATCATTACATTAATTTCAACCAATGTAAAAGTCATTTTCCTTCTATCGTCAAGATTCCAATCTCACTGTCATCATTCACCCCCTCAAAAACCCCCCCTATAAAACCCTCACTTTCTCCGCCACCAAGCCGCCCATCTCAGCAAGGCGGAGCAAAACATCTTTAGATTTATAGAAAAATAAAATACAGTAATCGAGAAAGGTAGTAGTAGTAGAAGAAGAAGAAGAAGAATGCTGCTGAGAAGCTCCTCAACGCCGATCTTGAACTCGCTGCTGCACAATTCAACGGCCGGGTCTTGTTCGTCACCGGAGCCCGAGACACTGCCCCAGATACCCAGGACCCGATCGTTCTGCCTGACGATGTCGTTGGAGGACGGCGCCGGACGGAACACCCCTAACCGGAGCTCGTTCGACTCGGATCTCATGGATCCGTCAAAGCCGAAGAGGTGCTTGAGGCTGCCGACGACCCCCAGGCCCGGGAAAATCAAGGAAAGGAGGGAAGATGAGGTGGGGCCCACCTTCCTGTCGAGCTCTGGGCTGGGATCGGCGGCCGCGGAGGAGGAGTGTCTGGTGGCGGCGCCGGAGAGGGAGAGGGAGAGGGCGCCGCAGACGCTGGTGGTTGGGGGAGGAGTCGGCTGCGGCGGCGGTCGTGGGGGCATGCGCGGTGGTGGTGGGCGGGGCTATGATGGTAGATCGGGTCCGGGCCATTCGCGTGGGCCCGAGAGCACAGACGCGTACTACGAGATGATGATACAGGCTAATCCGGGGAATCCCCTCTTACTTGGAAATTATGCTAAATTCTTGAAAGAGGTGCTTTCCTTTTTTCTTCTGTTTATTATGTAAAATTTAGTTTGGTTTGGTTTGGCCTTAGTAGTTTACTTGTCTTTGTGTTTTTGAATGATAATAAATAATGCTTATTTGGTTTCACTAGCTCGTGAATTTGCTAACAAAACTGAAATTGTTTGTTTGATGCACTTGTTGTGTATAGGTTAAGGGAGATTTTTCAAAGGCAGAGGAGTATTGTGGAAGGGCAATTCTTGCAAACCCAAGTGATGGGAGTGTTCTATCACTTTATGCTGATCTAATATGGCAGACGTGTCGAGATGCTGAAAGAGCTGAGGCTTATTTTGATCAAGCTGTTAAAGCTGACCCAAACGACTGGTGAGCCAAATTGTTTCATCTTTCATAGATACTTTTCTCCATGCATACTTCAAATCTCGTATTAGTTTCTTGAGAATAATTATTGTTCCTTTCTTTCAAGAATTGTTTAGATGAAAAGAGTCGTTTAGATGAAAAGAGTAAGAAGGGATCATAGGCTTATTGGCAGAAAAAAAAAAGAAAAAAAAAAAGTAAATTGAACTGTTCTTAATGTATATTGTGTGATGAGTGTAAGGGGTGCTTTAGATTTCTTACTTTTCTATAGCTTTGAATTTTGTTGATGTAAAGTGTCGTTACTAATTAACCGAACCCTTTTAATAACTAAATCAAATTTTGAGCTTTTATTTGTGAACACCACAAACTTTTAAATTCTTGAACACTTTACAACTTCTGCAACAATAAACCAGCCATTCTAAAAGAGGAAGCATATTCAAAAACAGCTGTTTGGTTGTTGCATTCTTTGGTGATGTGAAAGGTGTTTGAATTAATGAGGTAGGCTTTGAAGTGTCCGAGGGAATATCTTCTTTCCTGGCTGTAATGAAATTATCTTTGTGGTCCGTTCGGTTCTTGTCAGCTTCTTTGTGGAGAGGTTTTGGAACATATTCGTTTCTTTACTGATCACTCATTTGTGGCCTAAATGGTCAATGACCATTTGCTAGAATTGATTATCGAGAAAATTGATTTGATGTGTTTGGTTATTTGCTCGGGAAATAGTATAGATATTTTCTCACAGTTTGATTTTGAAGGAATTAAAATTACAAAGCACTGTAACACGAGTCAAACGAATTGATATGTGTCGTATCCACAGATGTGATCGGAACATACTTTGGACACAACCTAATTTTCTACAAATTCATTCATCTACAGTTTTATTTTTTCTTCAGAAAGATCCTAGATCGAAAGATGGCAAGCCTATTATTGGGGTACCCCTCTGGTTTAAGCATATTTAAGAAATAAAAGAAATCACCAAAACAAATACTCATTGCATGCATTATATAGATATGCATGAGTTTATGATTAAAAACCTCATATGGTGTGTGGAACAACAACTTAAGGGGCTTACTTGCTACTTTGAATATGACTGTTGTTTTTTCTCCTTTTCTTTTTTATTATTTGGCTAAGTTCAGGGTTCAATTTGTAATCATCCTTAAATTCCGCTTACGGTTTGAACTTTACTTTGCTTGAACTGAGTTTAATTTTTGGTTTTTTCTCTTTGTCAGTTTTGTTCTGGCTTCATATGCTCGATTCTTGTGGGATGCCGAGGATGACGAGGAGGTGGAAGAGGTAAAAACCGAATATGAGACGCAGAGCAATCACACTAATAATTCTCCTCCTAAGTTCTTCCATGAAAATGCTCACTGGCCTCCTCTTGCTGCAGCTTCTTAAATCTTTCAATTAAGTGCCTTTTTTATCCTTACTAATAGCTTCTGAGTTTGTGGTAAGACGATATAAACGGGTAATAGGAGTAGTTTTGCTAACGCATGTAGAAAGTTTCGTGTCTTGGTGTGATCTATCTTGTATATTACCGGAAAATTAGAGATCCTGACAGTAAGTCTGTAACTACTATGTATATACATCTATATCAATAAATTGGCATGTTTGGCCTTTCCCTTAGAAGTTGTTGCTTTTGACATGAAATTGATGTTTGTGGTGATATAAATGGTTTATTATAGGCATTTTCTAGTTTCTTTAATCTTTATGCGACCAAGCTGTGGGTTTTAGGCACATTGAGAACTGAGAGTATGTATGATGACATGTCTATTTTGAGATGTATTTCATGGGAAAAAAAAAAAAAAAATTATACATTCCTTTTTCAATGGTTAAAGTTAAATCTAAAGCAATTTGACACGCGTAAAATAGTAATTGGTTGAACAAGAGAGATGAATAAAATAAGTATAGAAAATTTCTAATTTCATTTTTTTTTATTACACTTACAAATTCTTTTGGACATTTTTAATGGTAATGAGGGTGTGTTTGTTTATGAAAATACTTAATTCATACTCAAAGTATAACTCGATTTTAACCCAACTCAACTATCGTCAATATGATCAATATATTAAATAATATCAACTAATCATTTTTACACATCACATCAACCTTACTTTACTATTCATCTACTCACATTATTTTAACTAACCATCACTTCACACCATCTATCTCATACTTTTATATCAAATCAATTTTAGTTATTTTATTTTAAATATTATTTTAATTAAAATCAAAATCCTGGTAACAACTAATCATACTATTTTTTTTTATATTAACTTTAGTTAATCGAAAAATCTCATTTCGAGCGGATTTATTTAAATACACGCCTTAAATATAAAACACATTTTAAGAGGAATTTTTTTGGCAATTTGAACATAATTAAAATATAAAACATACATGTAATCTGCACTTAACAAGTTCGATATACCTTCAAAACAATATCTGGAGTGGTCTCAGTGTAGAAGATACGACGATCGAGTCAGAATGTGCAAGATGATTATGAGCAATATATGTAAGTTGTTAGTATATCAATAATGTGTAGGTTGGATCAATAT